CTAAAAACATGGATGTTTCGGCAGGCCTTCCCTCCAGACAATTCCTGATGCCCTCGCCTCTCCCTCTCCTATTGTTTCTTCCCTCTCCTAAGGTTTCTTCTATTTAAAAAATTTTTATACTATTTTATACTGTTAGCCGCCTAGAGTGGTCTTAACCGACCAGATAGGCGGGATATAAAATAAATAAATAAATTAATTAAGCTCATAATGACGTTGGTGGTTAATATCAAGCCATGCACTTGTCAAGAAAGAAGTAAAGCTCAATTTAACAAAGAACAACCATCACACTGCTTGGTGCAGAGAAAGGGGAGTCTACCTATTTTAAAGACCTGATAAGCATTAATCCCTGGTAGACGGAGCTGTAGTTAAACCATCTTTGCCACAGATAATTCCCAATCCAGTTAGAGGTACTATGCACAGAAACCCACTTCTATGCATGTGTGGTTCCCTTTCTGATAAGGGTTATTTGTTTATTAGCAGGACAAGGGAACATGCACTGTCCACAGATGCAGTCCTTTATTGAAATGCTGAAGAGCCAAGTTTTGGAATTCAGTATTACAAAGCAACAGAAATGGGGCATGCAAGGCTGGTGGGGGGAGAATCCAATTAATTGTGCTTTCCAGTTCTGAAGCCCCTCCCTGCATAAAGTCCCTCCCTCATCCTCAGCTTCCACTGGTAACACTTCTCTACAAGACTAATTCAAAATACGAGCAATTTTCATCTGCTATCCATTTACAATAATACAATTCATTGGCATAAACAAGTTAGCAGCATCAGAGCTCAAGATATATGGATCTTCCTGGAGTTCAACAATGTATCAAACTGCTACGGTATCAATGCCTCCATCATGAAAAAGAAATAAACTATGTTAAGCTCCTTCTTTTTTTTTACCTTTTCTGTTATCAGTCCCTGAAGGACCTGCCAACGCCTGTTCATCACTCCAAGCTGTTCTGCAAAATCAGTCTTGTCACTACGTTTACTCTCCACATCTTGACTGCTGATTTGTAATACTGATTGGTTAACAAAATCCACTGTTAACTGTTTGCAATTCACATCTATCTTAAAACCCTGGTGGAAAACAGAGAGAGAGAGAGAGGAAATATTTATTTTAGCAAATCAACTATTCATTTTTCAATAGGAAACTAATGATTCTACTTCAAGGTTTTGTCAAAAGTACTGCTGTTACATCTAAGTAGCATACTGTATTTTTTTTATAATATGGCTCTTTGAAGAAGTGCTCAGAAGAAGAGAATGATAAACCACTTCTGTGTTCTGTATACTTAGGAAACCCTGGAAAGTATCACCATGAGTCAGAATCAATTTAACAGCACAAAAGAATAATAATAATTAGCAGTAACAAAGATACAGTTACTCTAGTCCCAAAGAGCTGATGCAGATAATAAACAGGATTGGATCTAAAGTTGTCCATCCATGAATGGAAGGGTACCTTCCACTGGTGGTGCATTCTGGGATTCAGCTGTTAGGAAGAAGAGAATCAAGCAGCAATTGTCACCCCTTCTTCCATCCTTCTACAAGCCCCATATCCACTTCACGGATTATTTGGGGGAGGGGGAGGCTGCCTAAACTCTACATAGTAGATTTGGGAATACGATGCTATAGGAGACCTTGTGTCAGTCTTCCTCAAAGGGGGCCCCAAGGCACTGACCAAAAACTATCCCCTTGATTCAGAGCCTTGCAGAAATAATTACAAGGTACTGCAGATTTCACAATCAGTTTTTACATCTCTGGGCAGATCCTCAGCAGACTTTCCAACCATCACTAATTAATCACCTTATATCTCTGAAGATAATCTTGAATAGTTTTGTGTCCCACTACATTTTTAATGCTTTCCTCATCCTCTGCAATGATGGTTTCCATCAGTGAAATCCAGCTCATCACTTCCATGATAGCATGGCGAGAAGGAAGCTTGTCCATTTGCAGCTGCAAAAAAAAATTATACCAATGAAATCCAAGTAATAAGAACTATGAAAGCGTGTCTCATTTTATCATGCCATAAAATCTCTGTACTTTTACTAAGACACATGCAGACATATGTGGAACAAACAAGTTACTGCAATATGTTATGAATATTTGAATGTATACGTTGGTGTCACCTAGAATGGTACAATTTCTTGTGATTTTATAATGATGACACCAATCTTCATATGGCTGTGGTTATAGTTGAAAGTATGTCTAGAGTACAGACAATATATCACATATCTTACAAGTAAATATGTTATAATGGAATTGCTTGGTTGCACTACCGAACAATATGGTATCTACTTTCATATGGTGTGTTCCTAAACTGTTTTGGTAACATTTACAAACTATTAGGACTGAGCTGGGAAAACAGAATAGTCCTTGATTGTGACAATGTATACATCTGATAGGGAAGGAATTACTACAGAGCTCTTTATTACATGCTACAACATGTACTGTATAGGTTTTTCTGGCCAGTGCCAACTTATTTTAGCAGGAGCTGATTATTGTCTCTCACTGCCTCCATATTCAGGAATGACATGGAAATTTAATGTTGGAGCAAACAATAACTAC